GGCCGGCGGGGTCTCGGAAACCCCCGGCCAGACGCCCACCCGGCCCCTGTGCACGGGCCTTTACCGGTCCGTGTCCGTGGACAGCAGGAGGACCCCCGAGGAGGAGTTCAGCGTCGGGGACAAGCTGTTCCGGCAGCAGAGCGTCCCGGCCCCGGCCAGCTACAGCTCCCCCGGGCCGCTCCTGGAGGACAAGGTCCCCGGGCCCCCGGGCGCCCCGGAGAAGTTCGCCTGCCTGTCCCCGGCGTGTTACTCGCCCGACTACGGCACCGCCTCCCCCAGGACGGACGCCCTGCACTGCCCAGCCCCCGCCGTGGTCACCGCCACGCCCTCCCCGGACGGCGCCTTCTCCACGCTGCCGGCCAAGTCCCCGCCCGCGCACAGAGACGCACTGTCGGCCCCGTCCATGGAGGGCGCCCTCCCCCCCGACCTGGGCATCCCCCTGGACGCCACGGAGGACCAGCAGGCCACCGCGGCCATCATCCCCCCCGAGCCCAGCTACCTGGAGCCCCTGGACGAGGGCCCCTTCAGCACCGTCATCACAGAGGGGCCCGTGGAGTGGGCGCACCCTGCCGCCGAGCAGGCCCTCTCCTCTGGCCTGCTGGGGGGCGCCCCCGAGCACCCCGTCAGCTGGCCCGTGGGGCCGGACCTCCTGCTCAAGTCTCCTCAGCGGTTCCCCGAGTCCCCGAAACACTTCTGTGCCGAGGAGCCCCTCCACGCTGCTATCCCGGGGCCCTTCGGGCCCACCGAGGCCCCTTACCCGGCCTCCCCCGTCTCCTACCCCCTGTCGGTCCCGGAGCCGGGGCTCGAGGACGTCAAGGACGACGCCGGGGTGGCGGCGGTCCCTGTCCCCATCGCCGCCCCCGAGGAGCCCACCCCCTTCCCCGCCGCCGCCAGGCTGGAGTCCTTCTTCGGTGACTGCAAGCCGCTGCCCGAGGCGCCCCCCGACGCGCCCCCGGAGCCGGTGTGCGTGACCGCCGTGGCACAGGTGCCGGCTCTGGGGCCCCTGGAAAGCGGCTTCCTGGAGAACGGGCACGGCCTGGCCGCCCTGGGCCCCGTGGAGCCCGTGCCCTGGTCGGACGCCTTCGCCGGCCCTGAGGACGAGCTGGACCTGGGGCCCTTCTCCCTGCCTGACCTGCCTCTCCAGACCAAGGACGTCCCCGACGTGGGGGCAGAGCCCGGGGCAGGGAGTCCCCTCCGCCC